TAATCTTCCTTTTTTCTCCTTCAACAAATAACATAGAGAGAGTCTCCTGAGGGCAGCTCTGTTCACTGCGGAGCTGCAGACCGGTGTCTGCGGTGGCTGGCTGGGCACCCAGGAGGGGCCTCGCACCCGGCGGCATACCGGGCAAGCCGCCGGGCCCCCTACTGGTGTCAGGTCCTCGGTCACTGACCGAGGACCTGACACAGTCTGCCCACGGGCGGTTTAGGTGGCCGCGAGGCCTTAGGTGGCCGCCTAAACCGCCTAATTAGAGAGCCGCCTCTGTAATGATTAACGTTTCATCTCACCCTGTGGTCACTGGCAAACAACTCTAGACATCTTACATACTCACTATAGTCTGGAAGCCTGGTCAGCCTCAGATACTGCAGACCAGGGGTGATTTTAGGCCAAAAATATACCTGGAACGTGAAGCCCATCCCAAGCTCTGCTCCTCAATACTCCCAAATTCTCTTCCATGACCACTCCCAAACGCGACCTCTGATCAGTCCAAAGCCCATTAAAGGGACACTATAGTCACCAGAACAATTACAAATTATTGTAGTTGTTCTGGTGAGCATAGTCAGCCCTTGCAGGCTTTTTGCAGTAAGCACTGTCTTGTCAGAGAAAAGGCAGTGTTTACATTGCTGCCTAGGAACACCTCCAGTGGCTCAAGATGGCTACTAAAGGTGCTGCACAACACTGACATTGTCATGGCCACGCTTACTTGGGGGGTCCCCCGCCACGTCTCCGTCCACTCCTGCGGCAATCCCTCCTCGCTGCACGTCCAGGACTCCGACGGGTCTGACTGCAAGGACAGACGGCCGGCATCCCTCTGACTCGTGGACGCGGCATCGCAGCTGAACCCACGTGTAGACTGCACTCACTCTAGGCGTGCGCACTTAAAGGGACAGAACACCTAAAACATCTTAAAGAGCTAATTATTATTATGTTATTATTTATATAGCACCAACAAATTCCACAGTTTAACTGTTTAACCAATGATATGTGAGAGGTGGATACCTCTCCCCTATATATACTCAGCTAACCTCTACCTCAGTGTGCAGTTATACTGTGCTCTTCGGTATATACACTTCTGTGAATCCGGTCTTATCCAGCCCTTAACCTATCTGCCTGTTATACCTTTCCTGAACCTGCACTGCCTGCCCTCGACCTTGGCTTACCCTGACTATGAGACTGTCTTATCCTCAATTGGTACCCAAATTTCCGAATGATGACATTTTGGGGGCGTGGCTACCGTCCTAACAAGCTACAGCCACAGTATAAAAAGGATTTCATGAGTTAGGTTCCTTGCCCTGTTGTGGTTCATTTTTGGTCCCAATAGTGCTATTCTGTATTCAGTGATTTATATTCTGGCTTTTGACCTTGGCTTTGTTTGTCTACTCTGTTTTCTATACTCCTTTTCCCGGCTTTGGCTTCTCGCTTGTCCTGATTTCTGTACTCCTTGACCTCGGATTGACCTTGACTACCCTTGTACTTATACACTAGTCCGGCCATTCTAAGGTTCGGTATACGTTACCTTGTATCTACATTCTGCGTGTTGGATCTCAGTTGCATCCTGACACTAACGTGGTACAAAGATGATACATCCACCGTCGCCCATATATATGTATTCTTCCATATCTTTCATAATATCTAATATATGGCCTATAACGCTAATGTATGATTTACTTAAAGGGACATACGTTTAAAGATAAAAATCCACATATTGGGATAAATTGGCCATGAGACTTCCAATGCCAATAACAATGGGTCTATCCGGTGCCTTTTCTAGAGGCTTGTGGAACTTTGGTAAATAATAAAATAAAGCTAATCTGGGATATGCATCATACAAAAAATTGAATTAATCCTGATTTAAAATACTAAAATATTTGCCTTTCATCAATAAATCAAAAAGCCTTTTCTTAAAAACTTCTGTGGAATCTCTGGGTAATATGTGGTAAGTGGTGCTGTCACCAAGGAGCCGCAGGGCTTCCGTGATATAATTATCACGGTCCCCTCTTTATTGGCTTACTTGAAGACAACATCATGTCGACCGCACAAACCCTTAAAAGCCACCCTTTCACTTGATTAATATTAAAACACTTTTTGGACTTAATTCCCTTAACCTCTTAAGGACCAAGCTTCTGGAATAAAAGGGAATCATGACATGTCACACATGTCATGTGTCCTTAAGGGGTTAAAAGCATACTGCTAAAAACCTGCAGACATTCTCCTCGATGAGTTGAAGTAGTCTGAATGTCTATAGTGTCACCTTAAGCTGTAGTTGTTCTGGTGACTACAGTGTCCCTCTAAAAAAAGTTCTTATAAACATATGATAAATACTCATCACTACCTTTAGAACAGACATGCAGCTTCTGGCCTGCCAAAGGATTTTGTGCAGCCTGCACACTATCGGGGTGTCTGTCACTTTCTCCCAGAGACATGAGGACCATGTGAGGAGGGGGCCAGGCCAGTTACCGGTAAAGAGACAGGAGGACAGAGGAGAAGGCTGGTAAGAAGGTGGCCATCCCCTAACTCCCAGCCTAGAAACAAGGGAAACCATCCTACAGCACCCAAAAGGTTGGAAACTGGAGGGTGGCTTTAAAGGTGTATATTTTGACCTGTATTCCTGTCAGTGTGTGTATCTCTATATCTGTCAGTGTGTGTCTGTATGTGTATCTATATGTCTGTCAGTGTGTGCATCTGTATGTCTGTCAGTGTGTATCTGTCAGTGTATGTGTGCGTGTGTTTACCTGTCTATGTGTGTATCCGTGTATGTCATTGTGTATGTCTGTGTGCATATCTGCATGTATGTCAGGGTGTGTGTCTGTGTTTGTATATGTCTGTCTGTCAGTATGTGTGTCTGTGTGTGTATCTGTATGCCTGTCAGTGTATCTGTATGTCTGTCAGTATGTGTCTGTCTGTGTATCTGTCAGTGTGTGTATTTGTATGTCTTTCTGTGTGTGTATCTGTATTTCTGTGAGTGTGTGTGTATCTGCATTTTTATATGTAATTTTATACCTTTACTTGGAAAGTAAGGCGCTAAAAATCTATCTGTGGCCCGAAGAAGTTTAGCCTAGTTTAATTTTGGCCACTACCTACTGCCAAGTTGTGCAGATCTGCTTTAGAATATGATAGGATCCTTAAGCCATATACGCACATATTGAGTCTGCAACAGTTAGTCTGCATGGTGTTCTCTGCTTCTGTGCATGGAGTGAAGCAGGGAAAACCACATAGCATAACTATTGGTTCTTAAACTGTGACCCAAGGTGCATGTGTATGGCTGAAGGATCCTGCTTTATATTAAAGGAACACGATAGGGTCATGAACACAATCATGTATTCCTGACCCTATAGTGCCCCCTGGCTCTCCCTTCCCACCTATAGTAAAATCTAACCTTTATTCCAGTCTGCTGGTGCTGGCTCTGCCCCATATCTGCCAGCTTTGCGGACATCATCGGAAGTTTTGTTCTGAGCCAACCACAATATTTCCACTCAGGAAAGCATTGGATTGGCTGAGCTTGTCAAGAAGGCAGGTCAGGGGTAGAGCCAGCACAAGCTAAACACAGCCCTGGCCAATCAGCATCTCCTTATAGAAATGCATTGAATCAATGAACCTCTATAAGGAAAGTTCACTGTCTGCATGCAGAGGGTGGAGAAACTGAATGTTCATGCTGCACACTGCGCAGCACTGACCCAGTTAGCACCACTAGTAGCCATCTCAGGAGTGGCCAGTGAAGGTATCCCCAGGCTGTAATGCAAACACTGTGTTTCCGCTGAAAAAAAAACAGTGTTTTCTGCAAAAAGCCTACAAGAGAGTGATTATATTCACCAGAACAAATACAATAAGCTGTAATTGTTCTGGTGAGTATGGTGTCCCTTTAGCCCCTTAAGGACACATGACATGTGTAACATGTCATGATTCCCTTTTATTCCAGAAGTTTGGTCCTTAAGGGGTTAAAAACAGCGATGTTTTTTTTATTTCTTTACCAAGATTTCTTTCTTTTTTCTTTTTCTAATGAAGTATATTTCCTTTTAAAACTCAATGAAAGAATGTTTATAATAATAAAAAATGTTTTGAGGTGACAGTTGATCTTTAATTAATCAGCTTAAGCATATCGCCTGTCCCACTGTCCCAAGTTGGTTCCTTAGTGACCCACCCATGTCCGGGACACCAGGGAACTGCTCCCAGTCAGCTCAGCATGTGATGTGGGCCATGCAGTGGGCACTTCAGCAACTATGCATGGCCTGGCCTGCGTGATTCTGGCTGGGAGACTTCAGTCAGCCTGACATGCATTGACGCCAGGCTGATATACCCCTTTGGTGGGTGGGTGAAACCGCACCCTGTGTAGATGAGCTTTACCAGTGATGCAAGTTGCGTAACTGCCCCCCAGCTTTCCAAACCCATCGCATACAAAATTGCGAAATACAGTTTTAAACATTCTACTAGCTAACAAATGTCTTTTGTTTACACCTATATTTTTGCAAGTTGTTTAGTCTATTTAATTTATTTTGCACATTAAGTGGAATGGATAAGCCTTTAGGTATTTATTGTTTTTTCCCCATATCCATACACATTTGACCTCAAGTTTCATAATTTTGGTAGATGTCATTTTTTGTTTTGTTTTGACCTATTTAGTAGATGAGCTGCTGCTGAGGATAATTCTAAACAACACTTTTCCAACCAGGTCAAGCTATACAGAGATGACATTAATCCCCTTTATAACCTGGGGTGTGATATGTTAGCTACACCTTATACCCGTTTAGTAGACAAGTCTTTGTTTGCCAAATGTTTTATTTTTACATAATTGGGGACCTTCCTTTCTCCAGACATACATGGAGAAATGGACTTGGTATCTCTCTCCAAATGATCACTGTTTGTGTGTACACATAGATATTAGTAGAACTCAGTTATAAGGTCTCAAGGCTTTCTGCACAGCTATTACATGGATTACGACAGTTCTGAAGCGGGCTGGTCCCGCCCACCTGCCTATGAATACAGGAAGTAGCAAAGGCAGGCAGGCAGGCAGGCCTTGGAAGGAGTGATACAGTCTGTATGTGTAACAAGCTATCCCAAAAAGGGAATAGACACTCGTGGACCACAACTACTTCATTAGTATGGGATCCTTTGGATGCCATTATACTTGAGAACAAAGTATTCATACAGTGTAAAGACATTGACCCAGTGGGAGAGGAGACTCATTAATTGAGCCCCTGGTGAGATATTTATTTTTCTCTTATTGTGCCTGTCCACTTACTGGGAAGCATTTAGAGCTTTGCATTTTTTATTTATTTTTTTTTTTTTAACTTTTTGTTGATGTTTTGGAGGTGTGTATTGTCTTTGTAACTGAGGTCTTAATTTTTATGTATTTGTGTTTTCAAAGCTATTACATTTAATAACTAATGGAATTCTTCACAAAACTCCCAAGGATATTAATCCACTTTTTGCTGACATGTTTACCAATAATGAGGAATATGACACTATTGCTGCACTGGGTCCACATTGATTTATTTATTTATTTATTTTTTAAGCTCAAACTGCTAGAATTATAATTTTTATTTTTAAACTTTCCTATTTTGTTTTCTGTCCTCCAATGGATGTTACTTTTTTATTTATGCTATTTTTTTTTCTCTCTAAGGTGAACCAATAGAGGGTGCTGTGGCGACTTACAAATTTTTTTTATTTTTTTTATATGCAGTAAAGAGATTTGTCTAGTTTTGGTTCTTGGGTTATTCAGATTATAGGTTGCCTCTCCTTTTTAATAAATAAAACCCTGTTAAATGAATGCTGGCATTAGGAATGCAATACTGTATTTCTAATGCTGTGGTGCTTTCTCCCCCTCCCACCCTGTTCAAAGGTTAAATCCTCCCTTTTTCATTAAACCTTTTTCTTAATTCGCACATTGAGGTCCCTCTCTGCTGGCTATATCTCCTCCTCTGATGTCATGCCAAAGGAGATACTAATGTGCATGAGTGTCGGACCGTGTGCACATTAGAACGTCCCCATAGGAAAGCAATAAATCCGTACTCTCCTATGGGGATTCTGAACGTTCTCATGCAAAGCGTGAAGATGTTTAATGGAGTTAAACTCTGTGAAAATGCAGGAAGCTTATGTTGTTGCTGTCAGTATGCAGGGTTACGAGAACAGGGACACTGCACCCAGACCATGTCAATGAGATTAAGTGGTCTAGGGGCCTAGTGTTGCTTTAAATTCACTGGTAACTCACTTCTAGTCAATCTACTGACAGCTGCAGCTCTTCTGTTGAGCTCCTCCACCTGGATGACTGCTGATCCAGTCCAATGTGTTTCATAGATAAATAATGGAGTCTTTCTGGGTGTTTGTCAAGTTAAAGGATCACTATAGTGCCAGGAAAACAAACTTTGTTTTCCTGACGCTGTCATCCTTGGGGGACCCTCACCCTCAGGGTCCCCCTCATGCTGGGCTAAAGGGGTTAAAACCCCTTCAACCACTTACCTTAATTAAGCACCAGGCTCCCGCTGCTCTGGTGACTTCTCCTTTCTGCTGATGTCAGCTCCCGAGTGGAGCGGAATGCACATGTGCTGAATGAGCCGCACGTGATTTCTAAAAGTTCATAGGAAAGCATTTCTCAATGCATTCGTATGGGCGTTATGTGCGCTGGATGCGAATTTCGCATTCAGCGTTGCAGAAACTCCTCTAGCAGCTGTCAGGAAGACAGCCACTTGAGGTTGGATGAACCCTGCTATGTAAACATAGAAGTTTCTCTGAAACTATGTTTATATGTGAAGGGTTAAAACCTGAGGGACTTGGCATGCAGACTACTTCATTGAGCTGAAGTGGTCTGGGTGACTAGTGTCCCTTTAAGTAAGTTACATGCAATACATGCCTGTACTGTGCCATGTGGGGTTCAGTTAACTGCAGTTAGTAAGAACCTGAAATTTGGCATCTGATAAATTCCTACTTTAGTGAAAAAGCCTGTCCTATAAATAACCTTTTTGTGACAGATTCATTCAGGGTATGAATAATGAGCTATCTATACACTCAGTAACTCCAAAAACATTTATCAATTGAGAGATGCAAGCCATATTTAACTTTTGCAACTGTGCTCATGAAAATGACATAACACTGCAAAGAAGTAGTATCTTATTCTGAGGCATCAAGTTTGAGCATGTTTACTTTATGAAATGCTGTACATATGAGATTTTTTTTTTTTTTTTTTTTCTCTTAGCATTGGGATTGCTCAAATCATGGTAGTCCCTACTTTGTTTTATGGGATCTCTGGATCTTTCTGTCATTTCTATTGCCAAAAACCTGGACACGTAGTACCCTTGGTTCGGTGCTCTGAACCTTTGGGTCACTGAATAGTCTTAGATGGACCATATCATCATTAATATTACTGTTAGGACCTGCAGTGGTTATGGTGCTGCGGTCTTCTGTTCCTTTTCCCAACAGCTGAGCATAAGGGATTATAGCTGCAGCAGGGAGTAGAGGAATAGGATAGATGAATGCAGTTCCAAGATGATTCTTCCCAGCAAATAGAATATCCCCCAAACATGAGCCTAGACTTCATGAAGGGTGTAACAGGAATGCATGTTATTGACAACCCAGGGCTTTTATGAGAAATCCTCCTGCAAGAGGACCTCCCACAGCAAACAAAGACAACAGCCAATCAACTGGGAGATATTGAGATAAGTTAAGGGATAACCCAATTATCTCCAGGCAGAGAGCACACCATTTTCCCAAAACTTAGAACACCCCTTTCCCCAGAAGGTATCCCCACAAATTACATATCCCCTGATAGCCCCGATCTGGGGGACAAACATATCCAAATTTCACCCAGATCGGTTCAGGGTTTTTAAAAAAGTATGGAGGGTACCTTTTACTGATTCAGAAACTGGTACAAAACCAAACAAAGTCCCGAATGGATCTTCCTGGCTCATAGGAGCGATTGCTCCCCTTGTCCATTCGCACAGAACTACCGAATGGCGCTCTCCTGGCTGTTCGGGAAGTAAAGGAAGCCGACGTTTGGTAATTTCAGCGGTGGTTCGGGAGGTCGAGTGTCCGATTTTTAGTTCCAGACACACGACGACCAAGTCCCGCTGACTCCCCTCGTGCGAACAAGATGGCCGCCGTCATCTAGTCCACGTGGTGTTCAGCTATACGAACAGCGGCCGCCCAGGGAGCACTTAATAGATGGTTCCTTGGTAGTTAATCAGCCAGGAGGGGGGTCGGTGTTCGGTAGTTTCAAACCACTTTATTTGTAAATAAACAGGAAAAGGACCGAACAAAGAAGAAAATGTCAAATAAGTCTATTTTCTTCACAATTATGAAGGCACAGTTCTATAGGGAGTGCAACTTGGATTTTGTTTATAGGGAAGACTCCCAGTCTTGGTTTCTGCATTAAGGGGAGGGGTGGCAACAAGCAGAGGGCACACATTTTGCAAAGGATTGTGGTTCAAGTGAATTGGGTTGTAAAGAAAACCCTACCCTAAACTTTATTATGTGACAATATTTGCATATTTTAAAGATTTGAGGATTTGGACAGACAAGTGCAAACGCTCAAATAGAAAAAGCAGTGCTCACATGGCTAAAGCTGCAGGTTATTTGCTGCAGGTTAATCTGAAGTGGTTTTGAGTGCTTTTAGAATCCCTTTAAATAGTTTAGGATATCAGTAAATATAGTCCATGTATATCTTGCACATTAACTGGAATATGTAAAGGGACAAACTCTGATTGGGCTACCTTTCCTATGTATGTTATGAGAGATTTCGATTCTTGTAGTGAGGTGTGTGGGTTTTTTTTTTAATTTTAATTTTATTTTACTAGGGCACTGCAATGACTTGTTAGAGCCTTGTCTGTCTTTATTCAAGTGACGTGGTCTAAATGGCACAGCATGACTTTGCTCCAGCCTGGCTTAATTTTCCCACACTCTCATCCACCTCTTCAAAGGTAAATACTCAACTTTTAATTTATACTTCTGTACTGCACTAAAGTGGATGCAGTTTAACTGGTTAAAAGGTATTTTTGAGAACAGTAGCGGACTGTGGTGACATCTTCTGTGGTTTTTTTTAATTTTTTTTTTTTTTATCTAAAAACTCAGTTTTACAAAAGGAGTTAGGGCTTTCTGGTACCTGTAGCCACATTTTGATTTGTCACAAAGTAACATTTATCTGTGTGTGTATGTATATCAGGGATATCCCTGTAATGATAACAACCAGTAGATGGTGGGAACAGGGTATTGGGGGATAGGATTGTAGTATTTATATTACTGGAGAATTTTTGTAGTCCGCACTAGCACACTTTACCTGTACTACAGAAAGGATTTTATTCTAGAATCTTAAATGACAGCTGTCACCTCAAAATGATTGTCTTTTCAGCCATATACATGCACCTTAGTTTGTTTGTGTGGTGTATGGGTTTCTTTTTTCTTTTTTTTTTTTTTTTTAATATATAAACTGTCTTCCCAACTTCACTCTCTGCACAGAAGCAGGGAAGACTATAGAGACCAATTGACAAAGGTGCATGTATGTGGCTAAAGGACCTGGTCATCTATTAAAGGTAGGGATTTACGTCTTATTTGTATTCTTTACTTTCAAAGCTTTATTTAAAAATACAAAAAAAAACACCCAAAGCACTTCAGTTTGCTGTCCTGTTAAAAACAAAATTAAAAAAATGGGAAGGGGATTCATATTCTGTATACTGCATGCTAACTTTTATTATGGAAAATGTTTTCTGACTTGTCTATGCAGTACTCTTCAAATATTGAGAAGCCTACTGAAACGTCTGCTCGCCAAGATGCCTGGTGCAGTGCAATACGACGACATCACAGTTCTTCAGAGAATTTAGACTCTGCTTTTGCAGATTCCAGTTGGAGTAGGTTGTTTTCTATACATTCTGTTTATAATGGGTTCAATAAATTTAATCCTTGCATTGACTTGGGAATAGTCCATTTTAGGCTAAAATGGTGCTTTTGGGCATACAGTAGGAAGTATTCAATCTTTGCAATGATAATCCCAGGATTGAAGTTGCAATACAGCAAGATTTTACAAAGTTAAGTCCAATGAAGAAGCCGTGCACCAAAAATACAAACATGTCAAAGGTTATTACTAAACATATTTAAAACAACAAAATTGCAACAAGGGCCTCAATTTAGTAATTCATACTTTTTTATATATAATTTTTTTTTTTATAACCGTTTCAAATTATTAAAATCAGTTAAGTGTTTTGTTTTTTGTTTTTTAAGCTTTTAATTTTTATACATTTTTAGAATGTTAAATATTCTTGTAAGTATTGATCATTCTCCCTGATGGGTCTTTTTGCTCTTTGAACAAAGGTAATTTTGGGAGGAAAGAGAAAAATGTCTGGCGTTCACAAAGCCGGAATGGAGCAGAAAATATAAATCCGCGTATGGCTTACAGCAGTACTGGTTCACGCTTTTGCACTAGCACTTTCCACAGTGGAAAAAGTAATCAGGAGAGCACTACTTTTGAGCATGAGATTACATGGAAAGAGGATTGGGAACGATGCAAGCCGTTTCCAGCTATTGATTTTGTAAGTATTTATCTTCTGAGTGGTTACTTGAAGTAGGACTGTAGAACAAATATAGGATTTACAAATGGAAGTGCTACTGTTTTTGGTCCATCCCTGTGGGATGAGTTGTAAAGACAAAGTATCACATGACGGAAGCTAATGGATGCACCGAAACTTCTGCAGACAAAATTTTTGGCGAAAATGGGCATATCACATTTTGACTGAAAACTGGTCAAATTTGTCAAAATTTTATTATATATTTATTTGTGCGTAGTTTAACAGACATGTTTGCATTGACCATTCATATGATTATATATATCACAATGAACGATAGTAATGATAACATGAAATTTTAAGAATACTGCACATGGGAGGGGGGGGACATTAAAGGTGGGTGATGTTTTTCATATTAGATTCATTAAGTCTAACTTTGATACAATTTATAGAAAAAAACTATATATATTTTTTTTAATCAGGGCCCCTCCTGAGGGGGCCTCCTGAAGTTTTGGTGCGTCCCTATTTTTAAGCATGGGTGTTTGGTAAAACTTTCTTTTTTTTAATTTTTTTTGATCGATCTGAAGACACTGCTCTACTTATGAGGTGCAAAGAATTCCAGCCACTGCAAGTTGTTTCATGTGACTTGTATGCAATACTTATGAGGTGCAAAGAATTCCAGCCACTGCAAGTTGTTTCATGTGACTTGTATGCAATATGATCCACAAAATGGAGTGTACCAAAAAAGGTATCTGTCAAGCCAAGTAATGGTCCAATTTAGGTTCCATTAAAGAAAAATGGCAAAGTAATTGTAATCAGTGACACTTGTCACTGATTACCTAAAATATTCACATCTTGGAATAATGGAATTGGGTGGTAGCAGCACGATCTTTGATGTGGATATAAGCAGCAAACGCCTGACATTTATCTATTTGATCTCAGACCATTATGGCTCAACCATAGTGAATTGTATGTGTATTCATTTTAAAAACATTTTTTCGCTTGCTTGTCTCATGTCTGTTGCATTGATGATCCATTAAATGTTGTAGGTTTTTAAAAAAAAAAAAGAAAATTTTTTTTTTTTTAATTTCCAAAAACTCTTTTGAATAGTGTTGACTTGTGCTATTTCGTTTTTATTCAGCCTTCTTATTACCCAGAGAATGACGTAGAACTGAGCGAAACGAAGTCTGTTACTACAAGTGTATGGGGTAAGTTTCATTATTTGTCTCAAAATATAGACTTCATACTCTGTGCAGCAAAACCTGCACCTTGTGCCACTTTTTTTTTTTTTTCTTAAATACTAAAGTAGCAGTGAATCTCTTGTAATCTAAAGCTAACAAAGGAAGTGGAAAGGTAAGTTTGAGGTGACAGTGCCACCTCAAATTCACCATTTCTTATCTGCCATCCAGTGCCATGACAGACTCCTCAATTACAATCACAAAGCTTTGTCCTTGTCCAGTCAGATGCTTCTCATAGAAATGCAAAGATATGTTTTTGTCTTGCATTCGATGTCAGGTCATATTCATCTAACTAAAGGACTAGTATAAGGGACGATTTATGCATACTGACCCATGACAATCGCTTTTCATCCAATTTTACAAAATCCATTAAAACATGTATTTTTGTAAATCTGTTAAAGGGACCCTGTTTTAAGTATCAAACTATACATTGGTGTATAGGTTATGCACCATGCAGTCTCGCTGCCAAACTATCACTAGAGTTGTAGTTACCCTGCAATACAACTATTGTACTTTCCCAAACTGCAATGTGTACAGGGCTAAAGAGGCATAGCACCAGATCACTTCAATGAAATGGTCTGGGTGCCTATAGTGTGTTTGCAAAAAGTTCTGTTTCGGTTGGTAAAATTATACCCACAATCAGTCAAAATAAGCAAACTCTGTGGACCGAGGAGAACAAAATGGACGGAGGAGAACCCAGGTATTGAGATCCAACACACAGACCATAAATATGATGTTGCATGGGAAGGAGTATGATCCTTAAGATGCAGGAGGCATAATAGAAGGAAAAATTAAATTGGTCTGGGGGGAACGCAAGTTGTGTTCCAAATAAGTTGCAATGTTTTGGCTGCAAATAGATTTTATTTTTGTCCTCTAAAATACATGAATTCTAGAAAAGTGACCCAAAATTCAAAAAAAATTGTTTTTAATTTTTTTTTTTTTTTCTATCTGACCTTCTCTGACTAGAACGGCCTTTTATGACTTTCTTGATTTTGTTATTGCTCTGCAACTTTTATGTCCAAATTGCAATTCCATTGTTTCTCCCGAATAGTAACCTTAAATGGTGTTGACAGCTGATGAAGGTGAAAAGCTTTGTAGAAAGGTTTGCAAGTGTATAAAAAATTTAAAAAATTCTTATTTTTAAATTCCAGAATACCCTTTAATTACCAAATCTAGAACATCACCAATGCTTGTGACTAAGCAGGGTATGAATGATGACTTCCCATCAGAATATCCAATTGAAACAAGTACCTATATTCAGCCAGCAAATAACATGACAGACGCTCCTAAAACTCAAACCTCAAAGAACGGATCTTCTCCTATGGTAAGAAGGCACTTGTATAACTTGTACATTTCTGAGTAACGTTCACTTTGGTAAAGTGTTGGCTTGAAGCAACATAGGAGCGGTTATCTGTTTAATTTGTCTTTCCATCGCAAATACAATCTGTATGTGGACTCTTACCACTAATTACTGGAGCAAGAAGATGTAATATTTAAAGTAAGTTCTGCAAAGTAACTGCAACCAAAGTCTTTGTAACATTTCCCAAGCACACTGCCTCTGACCTTGGCCTATGTTGTATGACATTGACACACATAATGTGAATGTGTTGACTCCACATTACTTCTTCATTGCAGGGCTAAAATGACAGGGTACTGCACCCAGAGTAATGAGTGCCCTACTGTTCTCTACCCCCTGCCCTTCTGACTGAAACTTAACACTCTCACTCTGACATTACTTGCCTATCCTATGGTGACTTGCAGCCAACCCACTCTTCCATGCATCTGATCTTAAGTGGTGGAGTGGGATGTTTTTTGTTCCTTCCAAACATTTTGCCCCTTGTCTGTCTTCTCCCTCTCCAGAGGTTCCTTCCATCTGTCTACCTACCTACATTGCTGTTATCTAGTCCTTTTTCTACTTCTTCCTTTATAATTTTTTTGCTTGGCTTCCTCACTTTCTCTCCTGACATTTCATCTATCATATTCATTCAACATCCAACCACTATTGTCCAACCTAATAGCATGATCTACATAGTAAAGTCATATAAGAACTTATAACCATGAGACTAACTACAGACATCCTGCAATACCTTTAAAGGACCACTCTAGGCACCCAGACCACTTCAGCTTAATGCAGTGGTCTGGGTGCCTGGTCCCTCTAGGACTAACCACTTTTTTTTATTTTTTTATTTTTTTTTTACTTTTTTATATAAACATAGCAGTTTCAGAGAAACTGCTGTTTATAATAGGGTTAATCCAGCCTCCAAAGCCTCTAGTGGCGTTTGCATGCCTCTCACTGTGAAAATCAGTGAGAAGACTCCAGCGTCCATAGGAAAGCATTGTAAATGCTTTCCTATGAGACTGGCTGAATGCGTGCGCAGCTCCTGCCGTGCATGCGCATTCAGCCGATTCGGAGGAGAGCTCCCCGCCCGGTGCTGGAAAAAGGTATGTTTTTAACACCTTCCTCGCCATCCAGCCCGGTGGGGGCACCCTCAGGGCACTCTAGTGCCAGGAAAACTAGTATGTTTGTTTTCCTGGCACTATGGTGGTCCTTTTAACCAATATCTGCTTTGACTCTGGCTTCTCCCCCTGTCTGATCACATCTTCTATCTTGTGTTGTCAGTGTGCCCTTACCTCCTAAACTTAATTAATGCAGATTTCTTATTCTTCTATCCCAACACACATTTAGGGATAGAACAAGACTGTCTCTCACTCTGCCCTCAAAATCATCCTAACAAATCTTGAACTTGGCTTCACTTCTTAGCTTAGTCTAGTGTAGCTTGTATAGCCTCCCTCCGTTTCTCAGTTCAAACACCTTGCCCCACTTCAGTCTGGTTTCCACTTCCTTCATTCTACTGTGTGAAGCCTTTACTAATGTGACAAATTGTTATAGTAATAGGTAGCTCAAGTTAAATCAACAAGGAAAAGCTATTATAGAAGTAATATAACAAAAGGTAAAATCTGCATTTATATTGAAATCGGTTGACCCTGGTTTTGTGTTTAAAACGTGTTTGCTTTGTCATAACTGTTTTGCAGGAACACGATCCTCAATGTGAGGGAAAAAATATTCAAAGTGATATTTGTCTAGACTCTGCTTGTGACATCTTCAACTCCAATGCATCTTTCTTTGATGGCTTTCTAAATGTGTCACAAAGTCCCCAGAATGAGGTAATTATTTTTGTAGTATCAGAAACTAATCTGTTACTTCTGTTAAACACCCTGCACAAGTGAACAAATCATTGGCTATTATTTTAAAGACTGATTCTTGCAGTCTGTAACGAAATCCCCTATTTACAGACTATACGAACAAACCTGTTCGGTTATTTGGAGGATTACAGCGGGATTTCGTGGCAATAACAAGAAATGCGAATGAACCACCGACCTCCCACTGAGGTCGTGTGGCGCCTATTGACCACCATGACTGTTGCGGTTAACCACAGACTAATTGGGGAATAGCTGGTGGTCCGCGTTCGTCTACCGAACAGGTGACAATCGCCATTTTGTATTGTCGAACGCACAGCGGTAAATGGTGAGGATTACCTGGAACTGATTTCGGCTACCTATTTTGTCGAACACCGCTGCTACCTTCGCTCATCCTCGTTCATACGGTGGAAAAACACACGAATGAAGGGGTACTACTTCATTCGTGCGCTGAAAGTATGCGAAAGTGACCGACCCCAGATAGCTATGGTATGGAACTTGCAGTCGGCTGCAAACACACGAACGGCCGGTGAAAGTCAAACTTCGGTCGACGATTCTGAGAACTGTGTTCGTGGGATCTGAGCGCTATTCGCCTAGAATATGCCCTCCGATCCAAGCTATCTGGGGATATGTGGAACTTAAAGTTTATGTTGTGTAAAAAGAAAGTTATATATTTTTATTCTGTCTTGCTAAATAAGAAAAGCCATGTTTCTTTCTTCCTGGAGATAATTAAGGCTCTTTGCTACCTTAAGTTAATTATCTCCAGGATGGAAAAGTGATTTATGTAAAAGGGGAGTGCTTATGCTATAGCCACGGTGATTGGCTACTGTTACTTTTGTCCCAGTCTTCCATCTGGTCCCCTAGGGGAGTGTCCACCAGGTGGAAGACCTGCATAAATACCGGGCGAGTAGCCCACAGTAAATCAGATCGTTTACCCCTTCATGAAGTCTCGACTCATGTTTGGGGGGGATTGGGAGTTCTAATCACTTCGTTTCAGTTGGATTTCGGGAGAAGCTGCAAGGATAATCGCTGCACGAATGCAAGGATCCTTTACACAGTCCTTAACTAAATGTCCCAGAATCACTTTCAACTCTCAAAGTGGTTAATCCTGCCCACTTTTCCCTGAGTTCCATCTTTACACGAGTCCTTTTCTTTGATCTCCTTCCTCCAGCTATACTATAACGTTCTGTAAGAAGTGACCAGTTAGGGTTGGTTTCTTGGTAGACTGGACAGGATGGCTTTGGAAAACATACTTCATGGTTACATCAGGGACGTATCTTCCGCAAGGCAAACAAGCCATTTGCCTTGGGCGGCAATTTCCAAGGGGCCACCCAGCTAATGCCTTGTTAGCCTCGCTTTAAGGGGGCCCAAGAGCTGGCTGGCTGGCCACCTTTGGGCCCTCTCCAGGTGGATGGCGAGGTTGCGCTGACTTGTGAGCGCTCACTGCTCAGCTCCTTTTGAGCGCCGCAGGGAGCGATCACAAATCAGCCCTCCCATGCCACCCACCTGGAGATAAACTAGCTGCCTGGCCAGCAGCCCCACTTGATCCCAGGTAAACAGCCTGATTATAATACTTAAAATGGACCCCCTCTATACGAACTGTACAAAAACCAATTCCTTCTAATCAATGTTGTGGATGTAAAGGTGTGTGTGTGGTTTTAGTTATTTTTTTTATTTTTTTTTGACAAATCCATGAATGTAAAAGGTTGATGAGTAATAAAATGGGGCTGAGTAGCTTTGGATGGGCTAGTTTACGTCTCTGGTCCCAGTGAAATCTTTACTGCAGACTATAGTATCGGGCCATGGATTTGGCCATAAATAAATTTCGGCTTGGTAGCGAGTGTCTACTCCTTCGATTAATACATTTCTAAAATATTGACACGGAGAACAGTCTGTCCTGATTCTGAATACTCAAGTTATTTCATATAATCTAATGTGAGTTTGCAGATCACTTCCCCTAAAAGTAAGTTCTCATGTGTTTGTTTTATATTTTTTTTTTCTGTGTAGCAATCATGTGTTTTTTTTTATGAAAAACTAAATACAATATTTGGATGGTTTGGCTTCGTTTCAGGAAGTGTTTTTGTTGACTATGGGCAATTATGACTTTGTATTTTCAAGTATCTTCTTTAAGAAGTAGACGAATGGGATCTGGTGGATTCTAATACTTACAACAATGCAGGTTCTAAGGATGAATGACTTGTTTTCGTGCTATATAAAATGTTGCCATATTGCAAATGAACAGAACGGCCTTTTGATAGCTGCACGGTCAACTTTGCAGATTTTTGTGGTAACTTTAAATAAAATCTCCATTGCAGCGTTCTTAATACTTTTTAAATCTCTTGATTGCTGTGACCATGGTGATTCTTGCAGCAATACTGAGGCCGAATACATTTTAAAGGATCTTGTTCATTTGCTCCCCATGTATTTGTTAAAATCCATCTTCCATTATACAGCATACAGAGTCTGAGTGATTGTGTGTGTGTGATTGTGTGTCTGTCAAAGTGTTTTTAACAGTATTTTGTCCACGTTACCTTTTTATAACTACTTCTTACCTAGCTACCTTAATGTTGTACACCTAAACTTAATTCTGTTTATATAAATGCATTACATGGTCTATCCTTTAACTGAATTGCATCAACTGGTATTGCCTAACCAATCAACTCCTGCACTTTCTCTCCACGAAACCAACTTTTGTGGGGGAGATACGTGGTGGGATGTTTAAAGAAACAGCTTACACAAACTTGTCTCAATGCTCTTGACTATGGATGAAACTCTCCCAAAACTGGCTAGGTTTCAGGACCGTGACCTTTTGTTGTATTGCATACAATGCTCTTTAATATTTCTCTCTACTACACAACTATATAGTCTGAAGGAGACAAAAATAAACTGTTAGGGCTAGGAAGTAATTTTAATTCTTCAAACTCTATATAGAGAAAAATATTTGCTTTTATTTGTAGGGGGCTGGTGCAACGTGCCAAGAAAGAGATTTAAAGCTAAACTTTGATACAGAAGAAGTAACCAATGGCAATTCTGTGATTTCGGAAACCTTGTCAAGGTCTCCAATGTTTCCTCAAACAGATGTACTTTCAAGTTCACTGGAAGCTGAGCACAGGTGAGCTTTCAATGGCTTTTTGAAGAATATGTAGACTAAAGATTTCATAGTGTTTGAAGTAAAATTACTTTCACTACAATGTATGTAGTGGTTTTAATGGCGCTTTTTTTTTGCGCAAGTCTTTATCCAGTTACTCTTCCATCTTTTTAGCCAGATAATTCCACTTCCTTATTCTTACTGGTTAAAAAAAAACAAAAAAAAAAACTTCCTTTTCATTAGACTAAATCTCATTTCTTCCAGTATAAATGTGACTTTGTGTCCTATGTCTAGTCCTACCTATATGGTTACATCTGTTTTGCTTAGGACAAATTAAGAGGCATGGAAGAGACATTACTGCGTGTAAAATATAAAGTGTATCTCATATTGCGCATTTTCACATTCCTATGTCGTGCTGGATTGAACCATACAATTGGTGGAAAGTATCAGTGGTCTTCAAGAAACTTTATCAAACTGGCATTGTGGCTAAAAGGATCTGGAACTACTTGCCAATATATTTTCATGAAAGCTAGTGGTTGATGCAGGTCTCTTGATTTCACTTTTATGTACCCTCCTGTCTCTAATAATTGTGTACTAATTAATGCTGTAGTATATCCAGGAACAACAAAAGGAGATCTGGTCATTCCTCCTAGATGTTACTTTTGGAATCTGCTAATTGTGTTCTTACAAGAGATGTTCTAGGCATTCTGGTTAAGAGCTCCTCAAAAGGAGCAAACTGTTTTGATAAATGTTCCATTTTGGCTGCACTTTTGTTTCATTATATTGCTTCCAAAATTCTAATTTAATTGTAGGACTCTAAACAAAATATCTCTGTACCACTTATTTTCATTTTTTTTTTTTTTTTTTTTTTCCAGGTTGTTGAAGGAAATGGGTTGGCAGGAAGATGCTGAAAATGATGACATTTATGCTCCCTTAACAGAAGAGGAGTTGAGGGAATTCAAGGCCATTAGCGAGCAGGTAATATAATTTAATATTAGAAGGGCTTTAGATTGTAAGCTTGTTTCACGTACAGTACTGTTTCCTGTATGCGACACGTGTTTTGGTTAAAATGTTTGCCAGTTGTACTGCACTGTTAACTATTTTGGCACTAAATAATATTGCAATTGTACATCCATTAAAATTGGTGAATTGCTAAATTTGCACTAAACTTGTACTAACGGCTAAGATTCTCTGCAAATCTGCCATTGTTACGATTTTGCAATTTAGTTCTATCCACTGAATATAAAGCGTAACTTCAGTCTACCGCAAAATCTATAGATATATTGGTAACCATAGTTTCAGATCCGTCAGACCACCTCACCAATAAGTGTCCCTGGGCAGGACACCTTACAATATATACTCGCCCACCTTAATAATATGAGAGTAAGCCGAACCAAGAAAAGAATGCTGGTTTGGACATCGCCTGGATTAGCAATGTGGTGACAATTGGGCTACTGGAACAAACAAGTCCTAGATTTGCTTGACTGCTACAACAGCAGACCCAATGAGAGGGGCTGCATGAACCATCTGTGGGAATTAGGAAGGAATAGACAATCTACCTTGATACAGATCCAATTTGATCTGTTCTATTCAGGGGAACCCAAATTGTTTTCAAGTGCACTTGGAGAAGCGTGAATTAGACATGACTCGTGTTGGTTATCAAAAAAGCCTCTGACCTTTATTTTGTCAGTTGTGTTTTTATACATTAAAAAGTGCAAATACTCATAGAACAGAAGATGCAAGGGAGTGAAGGGAGTACAGATAAGACCTAGGGATGAACGTTGTGTACATATAACAGATAAGTTCTGTTATAGGTGCATGAAGGTACAGACTGATTTAGGAGAGACTGCTCAGGTGGGAGCTATCTGCTCACGGAACATATATGGTCTTAAGTGTCGCTTTAAGCATTTCCCGAGTCCAAGTTAGCCAATTTTTAATATAGGCTATCTAATAAGACACCTATAAGCTTGAACCTTGGAATCAAAGTAAATTTTCAAAACCCCATCATCAAAAGGGCTAGTTAAACTTCTGAGCATTGCTAAGAGGAAGCTATTTTCACAACTGACTTTGGATTGACTACACAAATCATACATGAGCCACATGGAGGAAGATTCCCATATTTGGGCATACTTGGGTTGTGAACCCAAATCTTCTCCAAGGTGGCATAACCTCGGATATAAGAAAGATGATCCTAGAAAAGGCCTTGACAAGATGACCGAAGATCACTGGTAAATTGCCACCAGACTGTATACAAGTTAGTGAACATCCACAGCAGAACACACCAACTGGCTCTTTATATGAAAGACCAGCCATGCCCACCATGGCGATTCAGAATGGAAGCCAAGATAAAGGAAACACAGTGGGAGATATCAAACAGTGCGTAGCCCACATTAAGAGTTGGTTAGCCCCAGGACCCGACATGATCCACACCCAATGGATAAAGAAACGAACAATGCTGCATGAATGGATAGCAAAAAATATATAGAAAATGGCGCTAGAGGATAAAGTGAATAAAAGGTGCTGCTATACCCAAGCATATCACCACTATATATACTTAGAAAGAATACAGTAAAACGTAGAAAAAGGTAAAAGCGCACACAAAACAAGGAGGTCTTTACCTGACGTATTATAAATAACTGGTAAGGGGTAACTCCTCCTTTATATACAATATGTATATACAATGTAGGTTTTGCCTATACAAACACAGAACAAAACATAGTGTGGTCTGTATATAAAACACAATAGAAAGGAAATTATGAGCTGAAATCACTCACACTTTGCTGAGCCGTTTAAAGTAGGCTCGGGACTTATGTAGCTTTATATGTCACTTAAGTGGGACATGCACATTCCTTCACTCTTCAGGCGAATCCTTCAATGATCTGAATAATCATCTGATGAAAAGTTGGAGTCAGGAGCCAGGAGTATCAGGATATATAAAAAGATATTTATTTGTATAAAAACAAATATATAAAAGATATTGCACAACGCGTTTCAACCATCAGGTGGTCTTCCTCAGGTGCTGTTCAGAGCTACAATGAGCCTGCTACTACATATATAGGGCTTAACATGGGGGGGTAATTACAAACATTCCCTACACATGTAGCACTAATTAAAGTACAATTGCCTTATATGGTCCGAACCGGATGTGTTCTGCCACCTCCAATATGGCTCCACATCCGGTTCGGAAACATACACTGTAAGTGCAATACACATTAAAACAATTCACAAAATACCACATAATAAATAAAATATATCAATATTAATCCCCCAGCATAGTCAACCGACACGATATAGTCAAAACGTGGATAACCTAATGCTAGGGGATATTATAGATTATATCCGATAGGTCCGTCGCGTCACTTCCGGTGACGCGCGTATTGATGAAAGCAGTCCGTCGCGTCACTTCCGGTTTCGCTAGGAAGAGGATCGGCAATGTCCCTTAGTTTCCATATTAGGAATGATGTTGATATACTGTAGGGCTAACATAGCCATCTTTAAAGTGGGCAGTCTGTCCATATCCTCCTCCCCAGTACATATATACCAAATACAAATATATTATATATAAAAAAAAGAGTATTCATCATTTTATAGAGCATCCATTACTAACATATAAACCATATTAAATGAAATTTCAGGTGCTATATAAACACTATAATACCTCAATAAAGTGCAAATTATAAAGTGCTCTTAGAAATATAAAAAAAAAATCTAGAAAACCTTAAAGAAACCCAGTTGTTCAGCAAATAGTCTTTCCATGATGATAAATGGAAAGCAGGAGGGAGATAGAGAAGATATTTCAAGAAGAAAAAAAAAAGAAATCCATATTTCCATCCATTTAATGGCTTATAATTTATTGATTTCAAAATCAATATTTAGACCTCTTGGAATTAAAGTACATAATTCAAAAATCCACTTAGATTCTTTAAAACCAAGAGCTCTAGATATATCTCCCCCTCTCCAATTTCTAGTCACTTTTTCAATAGCAAAGAACTAGGGTCCGAATCATGGTGTTGTAAAAAATGTCTTTATACACTATGATTCGGAAAACCCTTTTTGATGTTTCTAAGATGTTCATTGATTCTAATCTTAAGCTGACGTGAAGTTTTTCCCACGTATTGGTATCCACAGTTACATTGTAAAAGATAGAGAACATAGGTGGAGTGACATGTGATTAAAGATTTAATATGATACTCCCTCTTAGTAACTGAGGAGTAGAAATTTTCCACTTTCTTATTAGTTCTTAAAGTATTGCAACAAGCCTGACAAGATCCACAATAAAAAAAGCCCTTTTGTTCTAATGTCCAGTTGCTTAAAAAATTTCTAGGGGCCTCTGTTTTAATAAAGCTAGATGTCAACATTTGTTTTAGATTTTTAGCACCCCTGAATATAAATTTGGGTTTATTTCCTATATATGGTTGGATGTCCTCTTCATGCTGTAGGACGTGCCAATTTTTGTTTATAATTTTTTTTCTTAATAGCACCAATGTTGCTAGAAAAATTAAAAATAAAAGGAATCTGTTTATTTTGTTGGCCTAGATCCTTTCTTTTTGTATTGTAACAGAGGAGTCCACTCCATTTTTTCCAACTTGCTCTATTGCTGCATGAATGCCTAGCCGCACAAATGAACCCGCTGCTAGCAACAGGTTCCTAATATGACTGGCTAACACAAGGTAGAACAATACTGGTCATGAAGGATCACCATCTAACCACAAACAAATCACCTGCCTTCCTATAACCTGGAAGGACCTGTCAGGCCTCAAAGATTCACGGGCATACAAGGCTGTACAAGACAGTAAGAGCCTTCATCAAGAATTCAATGGGCATGTGGGAAAACTGCTCTTGAAGCCAGTTCCAGGACCATATCACACACATGGCAACACGAGGAAGAGGCAAGAAGAATAGCAACATCTATCACCTTCAGAGAGTCACAAGTCCTGAAGTTCCAGCTTAATGTCAAATGAGATCAAAGCCATTAACACATCCGGTACCCAGCTTGAATGATAACCTGACCAAGAAAATAGCTGGTCACCATGTATGTCATCCAGAGACTACTCTCACTATGAATGGAGAATTCCCCCCTGAAATCAAGCACCCAGAGACTGTATACCAGCGGGAAAGAGGTTGTCGCTTAACTGTCAAGGTCAGTCCTGGGTGAAACACAACCTCCACAAGTACAACACAAAGATGGCTCCTAAAGATGAATTGCTAAGGGAATGACTGAGAGTGGCTTCAACAGATTCCAGGTGGGACTAGAGAATCAGGAATATATACCACCCTGGAGGGATTAAAAAAATAAACGCTCTTGGTTTTTGTGTGTGCACATAATGTTTGGAAGAGTGATGTGCAAGGCCAAAGCCAGGCAGACACACTTAAAGTTGTGCTCAGAAGATCACTGTTTCTGCCACGTCTCCATTCCTGGTCAACCATATAAGAAAAGTGGGTACCTGGGGTACTTTTGCATATGCTTAAGTTTTCTGAATGGCATGCAAAACAGCATATGATCGTTTTTTATTCCAAATGAAATGTGGAATGGTTCCCTTCATGAGCCAAAGCATGGACTTTGATCCACTAGTCGATTGTAGTCTCAGGTTAACTGCCTGAACACCTTTTTTTTGATTCATAGTAAAATATATTGGAACCCTTTAATCAAAGGCTGTAGTGTTGCAGGAGTGTCTGTCTGCAGTATATTCGTACACCTACTGCTAAATTGTAACACAAAACTTGCTATGTAAAGGCAAGTATGTTTCAGCTATATTTGTACTACAATTTGACTGTATCTTGGTTAACAGAATAGCTGAATTATCAAACTGGCAGCATCATGGTCGGGTTTTTTTTTTTTATTTATTTTTTTTTATTTTTTTTATCTACTTACCATTTCTTGTTTAAACTAATTATCTTGCTACAAAGGCAAGCCTGCCTTCCTCACTATGTTAATCTAATGCAGGCTTCCCCAAACTCTGGCCCTTCAGATGTTGCTGAACTACAAATCCCATGATTCTATGAATGAAATGGCTAGGCCAACAATCATGGGAGTTGAAGTTCAGCAACATCTGGAGGGCCGGAGTTTGGGGAAGCCTGCTCTAATGCAACCCCAACTCTTACCTTGCAGTATAATCACTTTATTTTTATTTATTTTTTCAGCTTCAAAAGAATGGCCTCCGTAAACAAGGTTTCATGAAAAATTGTCTTTCGCTTGATTTCAAGCTCTCGTCATGGAAAAATGTCACTCTTGCCACAAATGGTAATGAGGAGTCTGAGACCAGCAGCAGTGACACCTCTGACGACGTGTGAAGGTTTTCTTTAGTTCTGCAAAAACTGTACCACATTTGATTCGAATTGTACTAAAGCCTTGTCTTGAGATCTCCTAATGGCTCACTTTGGCTGAGTGTCTGCACCCTTTCATGTATTTATTTTCAATTTGTTTTTTGTTTTTTACCCCTGGATTCTCACTCCGGCTTAAGTCTGACATAAATTATACTTTAATTCCTTCATCTCTCTGATTAGCAGTGTGACACTAACAATTTGGGGCTACTACTTGTTTGACTAATCCGGTTTTGTAGTATTTGCCAAGGTTTCTGTTTTTTTTTTTTTTTGTTTGTTTTTTTTTTTAAGCTTGACTCTTGAAATCCAATCATATAGCTTTGTTTGTTGTGCTAAATGTTGGATGTTTTTGTGGAGTCTATGCAACATAACTATTTGCAATTATGCAGATTAAAAGTATTTAATTTCTACACTTCACAATTAAGGTTATATTTGGGTTGTTGCAAAAGCCTAGAACTTGACTAAAATATTGTTCAAAATAAAATGTTTTGATATTAAAGTGGGACTGTCACTTTGCATGATTTTTATGTTTTTATTTAAATTTTCATTGAAACTTACTTTGGTTTTTAGTTTTTGCATAGGATTTATAGCAGTGCTGGGCACATGCTAGAGTCCCCAGATGTTCTCTAACTTCCACTATCATGATACTCTGCTAATCTTTGCCCAATTCCAACGTAGAAATCAACTTTTCTTGTGGATAGCAAGATACTTGGTAATGGCCAGTGCTTAAAGGGACATTATAAGTATTTAAAACCACTTTAGCTTAATGTGGTGTATAGATCATGCACCTGCAGCCACACTGCTTATTCCTGTGCCATTTAGGAGTGAAATCCAATGTTTAAGCAGCCTTGGTCACATCTCCCCTGGCTGTGACTGACACTGATTTATTAAGCTAAAGTTGGTTTGGTACCTATAGTGTTCAATATCTGATTTAACCACACTTAGTCAAAAGAATCACGTAGAGGGGCAAACTGCAGGTATTATGGACTGAGTAACAAAATAGATGCTCATTGATATTTAGATCCTGGACACCAAGACCATAAATATAAAGCAATGGGGCAATTGTAATACATACAGAGGGCATAAACAAAGGAAGATGATGGTGCCCCTAACAATGTTGGTCCTAAGTTATTTAATGGTTTATCTTTGGCTTAAGGACCCCTACTCATTCTCCAACTTATGTTTTATATTTTTGTTTTTGTGGGGGAGAAACGTGGTGGGATGTCTAGAGAAACTACTTTGTACAAACTTGCTTTGGTGCTCTTGACAATGGATGAAACTCCACCCCCCCTCCCCCCCAGCTAGTTTTTGGGACAGTGACATTGTTATATTGCATACATACTTTTGAATGTTCTCCCCCTATACTCAACTATGTTCAAGGGGACAAAAATAAACTGTTAGGGCTAGGAAGACTCCTACATTTAATTTGCGGTTGTCATAACAGAACCAGCAGAGGGTGCTGTGACTGCATCACTCCTACTATAAATTCTATATTGAGAGCCAAGACTTCACCAGATCGAAATAAAACATGCAGGTTTCGTGCCTTTGTGCAGTGCTCACCCTGGGACAAAATGTCTTATAGATCCTGCACAATCTTGAATGTTTTAGCTGCAATTAATTCCAAGCTCGCCATGCCCTTTATTTAGCTTAGTTAGAACATGCTTGGACAAAGTCTCAATGTTTCAAGAGTTCAAACACAAAACTGTAGATAAAGGTATTCGAGGTGGCTAGCTCACCAAAGCCTGTTGGTCTTCAACTTTAATGTTTTGTAGAGAATGATTGCTGAACCCCAATTTGATCTGCCCAGTTCAGCATAGTGTATAACACTAAACAGAATTCTATGGGTATTTATAGATCTGCATTTATTGAAATCTAAGCTAGATCAAAAGAAAATTAAAGATTGCCAGAAATGGCAAGGAATAACCCTTATAATATAGATATTCACAAGGGGGGGGGGGAGTAATTATTCCTAACCTTTTATACATTTTTTATGAATATAGAAATCGGTGAATAACAAAAGGAACCAATATAATGACATCATAACTGTATGTAAACCTATGTCAGAAATGCTTGTCGTGTGGTTCAATGTTAGTAGCACTAACAGAAATCAAGGCTTGAGGTTTCTACACCACACAAATAAGGGCACACACTATATAAAGTTTGTATCCACAACACACAGAAGTAAATTAAAAATAAAATTAAGTGGCATTTAAAATGTATGTCATGCTTCTACTTTCTGTAATGTTCTGGTTAAATGGTGTGTGGGGTGTGTTTTTTTTTTTTTTTTTATGTTCAAGAGTGGAAGGTGGGATAGGAAAATAAATCTCAAATACTTGCTTATAGAATATTAAAAATAAATCTTAGTATCTTGTTACATAGTCTGAAAAGAGACTTGCATCCATAAAAATCAGCCTTTCTCATCTATTTTTTGTGGTTTATCAAAAAGAATGCATAAACACCCAGGTTCAAGCACTAGCAATTATGAAACCAGCTTAAAAAAAAAAATCTTATTGACCCCAGAATGGTAGCAAGAATTATCCTTGGATCAAGAAGCTATTACTCTACAAATGAAAAGGATATCCCTAAATATTTTTGCATTTATTGAATTGTGGTTTTAACATCTGTACAGACTGATAAAACCACCCTTTCAGGCAGAGAATCCTATGGGTCTGTACAGATGTTAAACAGCAATTGGAGAATTGCTGGCAATGGTTTTCTACTGTAAAAAAAACCTTTTGTGCAATAATTATTACTGGTTTTGGGTGGGGGATATCTTTCATTGCTTGATTTTTGGGATGTACATACTATACATGAAATCTGCTAAACACTTACTTGGTGATGTATTTATTCCTCTGCTGACTAGCTGTTGTATTTAAGATGGTGTCAGGATATTTAAAAAAAAATAAATAAAAAAAATTAAACTGCTTCCTCTTAACTCTCAGCTAACCAGCACCACTTTCCCAGTAACTTAACCAATCTAAATCCAGCAACTGCTACAATCAACAATTGGATATACATTCATTACACTTTTTTTTTTTTTTTCCTCCTCTTCGCTTCTTGATTTTTAGATTTTATTTTGGATTTGTGAAAATGCATGAATGCAAAGTGTATACTAGTGCAGGCATTCCTAGTTTCACATAGGACTCTAGAGGGTGCCCAAGATCTAAAATAGAGGTTTTCTGTAGGCCAGCTATCTTTCAAGATGAGTTATGTTTTTCTGGCTTCATTCCCAGGGGATATTAACCTCCTTTTAAAAAGTAAGGAGTTTAAATGTTTATTGTGTTGGTAGTTAATCTATGTACAATAAAACTGCAAGATTTATAATTGCAGTACTTTTTCTGACCTGCTATAATTTTACTTTTTGTAAAAAAAAATGTATTCAGAAAGAGTTTATAACCAGGCATTGGTTTTTACTACATGTGGACACTATGCTTCTACACAGTTATAACCCTCCTCCCAACTGTCCTGCTTTTGTTCTCTGGGGTCACCCATCTTTAGACAACAGGGAACTGGCCATGGACAGCACAGCATGAGTGTATTAGTATTGTGTGCGGCGGACACAAGCACCGTGCAGAGAGAAACTCTGCATGGTCCTGTGTTGGATAGCAGGCTGTCTGTCAACCCAGCTTGCTTAAAGGACCACTATAGTGCCAGGAAAACATACTAGTTTTTCTGGCACTATAGTGCCCTGAGGGTGCCCCCACCCTTAGCGTCCCCCTCCCGCCCGGCTCTGGAAAGGGGAAAAGGGGTAAAACTTAACTTTTTCCAGCACTGGGCGGGGAGCTCTCCTTCTCCGTTCCTCCCCCGTCAGCTGAATGCGCACGCGCGGCAAGAGCTGCACGCGCATTCAGCCGGTCGCATAGGAAAGCATTATCAATGCTTTCCTATGGACGCTGGCGTGCTCTCACTGTGAAAATCAGTGAGAAGCACGCAAGCGCCTCTAGCGGCTGTCAATAAGACAGCCGCTAGAGGCTTTGGGGGAAGGCTTAACCCATTCATAAACATAGCAGTTTCTCTGAAACTGTTTATAAAAGAATGGGTTAACCCTAGCTGGACCTGGCACCCAGACCACTTCATTAAGCTGAAGTGGTCTGGGTGCCTATAGTGGTCCTTTAACACCAGCAAGTCCTACCCATTTTTATGCACACCCATTATAGGCATCACCAGTGATGCAAGTGGTCACTGGCGAGGTCCTCCCCTCCTGATTCCATAGCTCCAAATTTTGGGAGGTATGTTATATTTGCCTACACAAAATTCCAAGACTGATATTTGGCCACACTTCTATATTTTATTTTTTTCCCCTTTTTTTTTTTTTTTTTTTTTATTCTTTATTTTTGGGTGCATGAGAGAATAACAATAACATCGTTCTGGTAAGTTTGCATACAATGCACAATTTTTGTTAAGGAAAAAGGTGATATGAGTTGTAAGTAACATATACATACAGGTTTTGCAAGAATCACCGGTACATAAAATAAACAGGCTAAGGTACGCTATTCTGTATGTTTGGGGTGCAGCCAACTCGGTTGCTGTTTTTGTAGGCTGGGTGGGGTGCTCTGTAACCCTGCGCTTGGGGGGGAGGGGGGGTTTATAGAACGGGCAGCGCTGTGGTAATGATGTACCCTCCAATCTGCCTTTATTGGAAATTGGGTGTGCTTATTGGGGAGTAAACCAGAGTAAGGGGGGGATTTACGACCCGTTCCCTCTCTAAGGACTTGGATTAGGATGCGGGGGTAACATGGGGTGGTTTGCTGTTATTTGTATTACCCTTGTGAAAATCGTAGGTTCGAAGTGTGAGGACAATTCACAGGCTACCGCCCCACTATGTGTGGATTGTGTTGGTTGTGATGTGTTTCAATAAGCGGGGAAAATGTCAACTGCCCCTCCACATGGCTCAGAGCAGGCCTTCTATCTTACATGTCTTACTTTACATTACTTGTTTTCCTCTGCCATGGCAATACCTCACCGTACGACCAATAAGGTCCGAGTGCCGCGTAAGTACCCTTGGTTTACATGTGGTATTGTATGTGTTGTCATGTATAAGTAAGTTAAATTCAACTAAATTCAAACTAGGTAAATTAAATTCAACTGATACAGGTACACTTCCAGATTGGGACATATTTGTAAAGTGAGGCGATCAAATATCTACAGTACAATGTGTCATTTTGCAGTTTAGAAGGTGTAAGGTACTATTAAGGGACAAGTCCTTCAATTTTTCATACTGATGAGTGTCCTTGAAGACCATCGGAAACAGTCACTAGGCTACCACTGCAAGCGCCGTGGGATCGGTACTAGCGACACAAGGAGTCATATTTTGCTTTGGCTTTCGCCACGGTAAGCGCTCATATATGAGCAGGTGTGTTTGTTCCCATTTGTAGGTGAAGGCACCTGTAGAACCTCAAACTTAACACATTGTTCCCGGCTAGGGAGGGAGGGGCAGGGCAGGCTTTTGAATAAGGTTGAACGAGTTCAGTTCCTCAGGTACTTGGTCTGTGCTGTTCCTTCCTCCCTGGGTTACTGGAGGTTGAATTTGCCCCGGAGGGGGCCTGGCCTGTCTTGTGGGTTCCAGATGGTTGGAACGGTATGAGCCTATCTATGTCCCAATTATGTGGTGCTTTCCGCCCCTGTACCTGCGCCCTCTGTTCCAGAAGGCTCTTTAGGCCCAAGGCCTGGAGCGCTGCGTCTGATTCTGCGGCTGTGGTAAGTCGTAAGCTCTTCTCTCCTTGCGATATGAACAGGCTCCTGGGGAAGCCCCAATGGTATGGGATTGAGTGGGTGCGTAGTGTCGAGGTCAGAGGTTTAAACTGGCTTCTCCATAACAGTGTAGGTCTGGATAGATCCTGAAAGAATACGAGGTGAGTATTTTCGAAGGAATAAGCGGGCTGTCCCCTCACTGCCACCATTACTTGTAGTTGCGCTGATCTTGTCTGGAACTGGACGATAACGTCCCTTGGGGAGTCCGCTGGTGCCATCGTAGCTTTAGGTATGCGGAATATCCCGTCCACCAGAGCTTGTTTGCTCTGCCTGGGGTTTAGTATGGTGCTCAGCAACCTCCTGGCATAATGGGGCAGCTCCCCGGACGTGATTGACTCAGGAATGCCCCTGATCTTAATATTTCTGCACCTGTGCCTGTCTTCCATAGTGTCCATTCGAGTGCTTGGGCTTTTTGGAGCTCTGCTGTCAGGGTCTCTGTTGTTTGGCATCTGGAGGAGAGTCCCTGTGCATCTATTTCGACTGCAGTAACACGTCCCTCCATTTTATGCATGTCTTCACGCACTATGGCGATATCTGCCGCAAATAGCCCTCGGATGTTCCGGAGGAGCGCCTTAATGTCGGCCTTGGTAGCTGGCAATTCATTATCTTCATCGGAGGATGTGTAATGGAGCCCCCCTGCGGCTGGGATCTCGTCCAGCTCGTCCATAGCCCGTTCTTCGGAGGAGGCTGAAAGCGAGTCGCCATTTTCTTTAGGTACGGCCGTGCCTGAGGCCCTGGAAGGCCGGAGTAGGAGATCACCAATGTCCTGGGATCCCGCTGGTTTGACGGGTCCCTGGCGTCTGGACTTCTTCCCCATACTGGCAATGCATTTTTGTTGCAAAACGAGTGATTTTAGGTTTGTTTAATATCTGTTTCAGGCTTGTCGTAGCGGAGCGCTCTTGCAACACGTCTGCTCTTTTCGGCCGCTAACCCTGCCCCCTTTCCCCTTCCTTTTGTCACATACAGACAATGAATCATACCACTATTTTCTCCACCCCACCACCACGTGTGAAGGCTTACATGCCACGGTCATAAGTATATGGCTCAGCACCTGGAATATCTGTGAAATCCACACAATCATGGCTCCCACAACCTAATATTTAATTTGAATGTACCTGAAGGATTTGGGATTACCCCATGGGGGAAAAAAATGTGTGTGTGTATATATATATACATATATATATATATAATGTTTTGGTACACATTTTCACACACAAAGGACTTTGTGTTTTGGGGATGGAGTAGGTTCACTATCCACACGGCCTTCCTACTGGTGCCTGGAAGAGCTGAAGTGGCTGTGTTGCTGGGGGCTGCTGGAATCATGATGCCTGCTCAGCTTCTTGGTCACTTTGCAGTAGAGTGCAAACTTTCCCGATTCTATGCTAGAGAAGTGTCTATGGAAGCCATTTTACTCACCTCAGGTCCCTGTACACTGCACCGGATGTGATGCTGGAACAGATTATCACTTCCTGCTATTACTAAAGAGTGCTTCAGGGAGCGATGCAAGCAGTGCAAAGTGTGATCATAGTACACGGACTGCTGCACACCCCCAGACCTAGTACATTTGGGCAGAGTTTTTTTTTTTTTTCTTTTCTTCCTCTACAGTCTATGAATTCAATGTATTATGACAGGTTCACGTTAACAGGACCCTCCGATAGCAAATTAATATATAATCGGTCCTATAGATGAATTACATATTTAATTTGAGAATTCTACTAAAGCAATGTGTAGATTTGGCTTAAGGTGAGGGTTTAAGTTACAATGGTAAAGGAACACTATAGTGTCAGGAATACAAAAATGAAAATTGGTTTACTCCCCTTTTTTTTCCCCACGTCATGCCAGTCTCGCTGTGACTGGTCTGGCCTCTATGGGTGAGATCACCTATCTTGATGATCTCAGCCAATCCAATGCTTTCCCACAGAAAAGCAGTGGGAGGCTATTGCACATGCGTGGCAAAACGCCACTCTGCCCCAATCCGCATCTCCTCATAGTGATGCTTCAATGCATCTCTGTGAGGAACGTTCAGTGTCTCCATGCAGTGTGTGTAGACACTAAACGTGTGCAGCACTGGTCTAGGAAGCATCTCTAGTGGTGGTCTGTGTGAGTTTCCACTAAATATTCCTAGTCAACTTGCCTTTTTCTCTGAAAAGACATTGTTTACAGTGCTAACATTGCAGGGACATGCTATAGACCCCAAAACCACTGCATTGCGCTATAGTGTCCCTTTAAGTCTCAATACATGCACACAAAAAAACAAACTGACTACTCATTGCCATTGTCATGCCAATAGATTCCATTTTATTCATTGCCATCAAAAGGAAAAAATATACAACAGAATTACTGTTTCTTGTTGTGAAGATGAATCTACGTCAAACTGCTTAGTTCCAGGAAAAAGTATGAAGACCACAAAATTGCATCAATTGTAATTTATAAGTTAAACAAACTTAATCCACTTCTTCCAAGTCTCTCGTGCTTTTGATTACTTTTTCCCATTTGTTGAGCGATCCAGCAGATATTACTATAAAGTCCAAATCTAAAACAGGAAGTTGTGTTTTAAGTAGGAACATGACTTTGACTTTTGAAACCAATATTAAAGTTTAATTTTATAAAAATAAGCCGTGTTTATAACACAGCTTGGGAAAACAAAATGAAGCTTCAAATAAAGATAGTGTTAAAAATAAAAAATGAAGTCAGAAGTATGGTATAAGAGCATTGAGTAAGCAATGAAATTCACGATTTCTGCAATCTTTACACTGTTTGACAACAGTGTGATTTACAGAATTGCATCTGTGAGGATTTGCAATCACAACACACCCATTGAAATGTCACTCTATTGCTGTTTATTACATCAGCTAAATTCGAAACATCCATTTCAGTTATTTTCTAGATTAGTAAAGGATAGTTTTTGCACTTTAGTTGTGGACTGCAGTTCCCAAATGCTCAGCCAGACAATAACCCTCTTTGTACCACTTTACACACTGATGCCAGGAGGGTTAGGTGACCGCTTGGGTGGATTGATCCAGTTTACTTTGACATTGCATCGCAATGATGTATTTGACACACAGGCTATTTTAGAATAGTTTGACTTAAAGGTAGGGATGCACCGAAATGAAAATTCTGGGCAAAAAAACAAAAATCCATGATGCCCTTGGCCGAAAACCAAAAATCACTTTTTTCCCCAAATGATTTCAAAGTTTTTTGTTACAAAAAATGTATTATTATTAGACTTTTTAATGAATTAAATTAATCTAATATAAAAAACTTCCCTTCTCCCTTCTCTTTTTGTGCCCCCCCTTGCTTAATGTTCCTCTCCCCTCCCTCTTTTTTAGTGTTCTTTCCTCCCTCCTCCCCTGTCCCATAGTGTCCCCCCTCCTCCCCAGTCCCATAGTGTTATTTCCCCCCTCCTCCCCTGTCCCATAGTGTTCTTGTCATCCCTCCTCCCCAGTCCCATAGTGTTCTTGTCCGCCCTCCTCCCCAGTCCCATAGTGTTCTTGTTCCCCCTCCTCCCCAGTCCCATAGTGTTCTTGTCCGCCCTCCTCCCCAGTCCCATAGTGTTCTTGTTCCCCTCCTCCCTAGTCCCATAGTGTTCTTGTCCCCCCTCCTCCCCAGTCCCATAGTGTTCTTCCCCCCCCGTCCCAAGTACAGTATTCTTGACTTTTGGTATTATTACTATATATTATTATATATATAATCATCTGAATTGTTAATGCAAGCATGTCTGTGAAACTATGCACTACAAAAAAAAATAATTGTGACCTGTTTTTGGACAAAACGGGATAGGCCAATTTCCGCCGAAATTTCAGTGCATCCCTACTTAAAGGACCACTACAGTCACTCACACTGCTTCATAAATTTTTTTTTTAAAAATATGTGTTTCATTGCAGGATTTTAAAAATAATAAAAATGTGATATCTTTGAGGTTCATGTACTTGCTGCAGTTCCCATCTTTGCAACTTTTCCAATAAACTGTCACCGAATAATAGACTTGTGCGCAAATCCCTTTCAAATGCCTGTCAATTTATTAACAAACAAATCCATATGTCCATAGATTGACAGATATTCAATTCAAATGTCCATACATTGACAGACATTTGATTTCTTCATGTGAAAGGGATTTGTACACAAGTCTATCAAACAAGTAGTGGATTGTGGAATGAATCTCTCAGCTTATTTTGCTGCTCGTGAATGCACACACACATTATGTAGCGACCAGTATTCCTGAGTGATTTGGTTGGCTGGTTATGTTGATCGCCGCACATGTTTTCTAGGTCCAACAATGCTTCTATGACCGCATTTGACTGGACCTTGGACCAAGAAGCCATGATGCGGGATGTTCTTTAGGGAGAAATTGGCCCTATCGCTTGATTCTAGGTAAGTAGTGATTGTTTCTTAATCACTAATATTAATCACTAATGCTTATAGAAGAAAATAAGCATTAGTGAATTCTAAGCTCAAGTTAATGTAGAGAAAACTACTCCCTTTATGGCAGTCCACTACACTGCCATACAAAGACATGGGACTTTTCATTTTTCTTTAAAGCATACAATGTAAAGAGAATGTTCTTTCTGCTTCATTTTAGTCTTTGTTAAAAGGATACTAAAAGCACCAAAATAACTTCAGATTAATTAATTGGTTTTGGTATGTAGGTCATGCCCCTAGAGATTCACTGCTAGTTCCAGAACTAATGAATTTCAAAAATCTGATTGGCTGTGATTGGCCAGTGTAGCATGTGACCCAGCCTCTAGATATAAGTGGGAGTCGCGTAGCGCCGCACGCACATGAGCTCTTATTAGTGTAGGGAGAGGATGCTGCCGCTTTGAGGGACAGCTTAGGAAAGAATTCTGCAAACTAGTACATTAGTGGGGTGCACTTCATATCTGAGAGTCAAATAGAAGCTTCAAATACCGCTGTTACATCGGAGTTTTAAAAAGTAAATTTTTTTTGGTGCTAAATAGTACATTAGTGGGGTGCACTTCATATCTGAGAGTCAAATAGAATCATCAAATACTGCTGTCACATTAGTTTTAAAACTTAAAATTTTTCGGATGCTAAAAAGTACACTAGTGGGGTGCACTTCATA